CGGACTGTCCCTAGGGACAGATGGCAAATGCTAATGCAAATGTGTCACCAACTCGTGTCAAACGGCTGCAAACCAAGACTCCTCTGAGGTGGGGGTGGGGAGAGGGACGCGGACTTGATGGCAGTGGCCAAGCGCGCATCAGCCTGTAACTGAGGGTGGGGAGCGGATAACGGTGGAGGGACTTCCGGCAGTTCTCACCTACTTTTTCCAGGCCAAGTTAGGCATCCACTTTAGTCAGTGCAGGGGACTCTGAGGCTTCAGCCGCTTGTCCCACAGGACATTTTATACCTGCCCCCACCTCACCCAAGGAGAAGCCCTTGCACACCAGGCAAATGAAACTGGTCTTCAGATGTGAAGCCCGGGTTGGGGCTGCCATCCTTGCTAAAGATTCTGTGGGCTGTGTAGCCAACACTAGGGCATTTCGATTTCTACACCTTGCTGGAGACATCACCCAGGGCCTCTGGCTCCTTGGTCATGAGTCCTGTAGAATTATGGGTCAGGCCTGCAGAATTCAGAGAAACCTTGGCCACGTCTCTAGTGGAGTCCCTTTGAGCTCAAGTCATTGTATGGGGCTTCTCACCTATCCAAGAGCTTTCCCAAAGTAACATCAAACACTGTCCCTTTACCACCAAACAGATGAGCCTATTACCCTCCCTACTGCCACAGTGGGCTAGCGTTGGGGGGCCCTCTGTGGGGCACAGCGTCTGCTCTCCCTGGGCTGTGGGCACCAGGGCTAGTGCCAACGCCAGGGTAAGCACTATCAACAGCCACAGCAGCCACCTAGGCATGCGGCCCACCATAAACAGCTATTCTCTTTTCTCAAGGAAGTATTGTGTGTGTGTGTGTGTGTGTGTGTGTGTGTGTGTGTGTGTGTGTGTGCAGTTACTTAAAGAGGCCAGAAGAGGGCATTTGATTTCCTGAAGCTGGAGTTATAGGTGGTTATGAGCCACCCAATCTGGGTGTTGGGAACCAAACTTGCAAAAGCAGCGAGTACTCTTGCAGCTGATCCATGTCTGCAATCATTCTCCCCGTTCTTAAGAGCCTGGTCCACACATGCCAACACACGCCCTCACCCTTCCATGCTCTCCTGTGCTCAGCTCCACCCACAATCTTTCCCACTTCAAAGGGGTTGTCCAATTTTAATTTGCATTAAATTGGTAACACAGTTTGGGAAAATGCAGATTCTTATCTTGGGTCAGAGCTAGATGTCTTCATGAATGCTGTTAGTATTCAGGCATCTGTCCTGCCCTGTCCTTGGGGTGCTGACAGGATACGCCCTCAGCTGCAGCCACTAAGAGTACCTCCCATGCACATTCACCACGTTCCCTTTTAAAAGGGTCCTGCCCACACCCATCCTCCTCTCTATCTCTCTCTGTCTCTCTCTCTCTGTCTCTCTCTGTGTGTCTCTGTCTCTCTATGTCTCTGTCTTTCTCTCTCTGTCTCTCTCTCTCTCTCTCCTCTCTCCCGCTGCTCCTGTCCCTGGAGGCTGGTCTCCCCTCTCCCCTTCCCTCTTTTTATGATCCCATTCCCTAATTTAAAAAAATATACCTCCACTTGAGCTCTGTCGAAGGCTGTCTTTCCCTCTCAAGACACTTTTTTAAGATTACAACACCTGCTCCTTTTTGTCCTCCCAAGAACCCTTTGTTTATTTTTTGTTGTTGTTGTTGTTGTTGTTGTTGTTTGGTTTGGTTTGGTTTGGTTTTTCGAGACAGGGTTTCTCTGTATTGTTTTGGAGACTGTCCTGGAACTCACTCGGTAGACCAGGCTGGTCTCGAACTCACAGTGATCCGCTTGTCTCTGCCTCCCGAGTGCTGGGATTAAAGGAGTGCACCACCAACGCCCGGCTCCAAGAACCCTTTGTAACTAGTGGGAGATAATGACCAATGTTTGGACACAGAACAGCTGGAAGCCCACATGCTCTCCAGTGCTGGCTGCCATCAGCTTTGGGACAGTCATGTATCTGGGATCCTCACACAGTTCACCCAGATGAAAGAGAATAAAGCATAAGGTGCTGACAGGCTTGGAGAGACTGTGAAAGGTGAGAGCCAGGTGTTGAAACATCTCTCCCATTGGACTTATGCGCCAATCTTGCAAAGGGAGGCATGTTGACAGAGAGACAGACAGACAGACAGACAGACAGAGAGAAACAGAGACAGCGACACAGAGAGATATAAAGATAGAGACAGATAGAAAGGATAAAATGTAGACTCGTGTGACAGATTTTAGAGTCTGCTCCACATTGCATTAACCCCATCACATACTACAGATCCCTGACGGATGAACAAGGTTGTTGTATCCAAACTCACAGCATCTGTAGTTACCTGTGCAAGATCAAGCTATTTAAGATTCCATTATGGATGAGGGAGGGACTTTGGGGGCCCCACTGCTAACTAAGGAGCTATTGTCAGTTGACAGCTACTGGAGGAGAGACAGTCACTAGCTCCAGGGGATGGCCCCACACCCCTGTTCGTATGGGTGGCACTAATCAGACTCAGGAGGGAAACTTTAAAATGAAAGGACATGAGATTGGAAGAGAAATGTGTTGCGATGTCAAAGGAATAGGATAGGGGTGAGTATACATGATACATTGTGCACATGTATGAAAGTTTCAGAGAAGATGTGTGGTTTGAAAAAGTGCTTGAGGGGCTGAGGAAACGGTTCAGCAGTCAAGGTCATTGTCTGCTCTTCCAGAGGGCCTGGATTCTATTCCCAGCGTAAACATGACGGCTCACAGCTTCTAGTAACTCCAGTTCCAGGGGATCCGCTGCCATCCTCTGGCCTTCGTGGACACTTTGTGCCATGGTGCATAGACAGACATGCAGGCCAACAGCTGTGCACATATAACGCAACCCACGTAACGCAATACATCACAATACGAAGGACCTCGGAAGCAGGCAGCACACTGACTTTTCCGCCCCTTGGGCATCCCAGCCTCCGGGTTAAGCCAAGCATGTGGACGCCAGCCCTGCTGGTCTCCATGCGGCTCTGTGAAAACACAGCTTCTCTGGCCTCCTCGTCACATCGCTGAGGAGGAGTATTCAGCAGTGGTGTTTCCATGAGAACAGATGTGTCGTTCTGAGGCTTCAGCTGTGCTTGCCTGCAAACCCTGGGCTTCTCCCCACCCTGTATAAGATGCCTGGATTAATAGGCTTCCTGCTCAGATCATTGTTCCCAATGCTTCAGTCTTTAAAATGGTTGGATGTGCATAAATGAAGATTCCTTTGCTTGCTCAGGTCTAGCAAACACACACATGCAAACACACACACAAATCTTTCCATGGGCTGGGGAGGTGGCTCAGCCGGGGAGGTGTTTTCTCTGCAACCTGGACACCTGCTTTCAGATATCAAGCTTCCGTGTAAAAACAGCAGGTGGGTTAGTGACCCATCTATTACCTCAGCGCTCAGATGGAGAGGACACAATTCCCCCCAAGTGAGCCGGTTGGCCAGACTCACTGCAGCCGAGATCTCTGTGGGCAAGTGAGAGACCCTGCCTCAACATATAAGGTAGAGAGGGATCCGCGAAGACCACCAACTCTGGCCTCCACACATGTACCCACATACACTCGTGAAGGGCAAACAAAAATGCCATGTTTTAAGGGTTTTGGGTTATCAAATACACTGGAGATAGTTACAGCGCGTGAAGGACCATAAGGTTCTAGAAACCACTCCTAAAAATAAAACAGATCAAAGATAGTATGAACTGTCATGCTGGCAATGAAAGAGTACATGCCCGTAAGAAACATGCACACCTACTGTGGGCCCCCTTCCTTAGACAGAGACCCCGGAATGCAGGGGCTACAGTACATGTGGACCCAGGCACATCTGGGTTCAGATCCTGTCTGCTCCAGCCTTTTTTGGGTTTGGACAAGTCACTCCGTCTCATTTTCCTCCCAGGGGTTCATTTATGTCAGATGCTGCTGTTCTGGGAGGACCCTATCTGCTCTCCAGGCTCTCCTTCCTAGGGCAGCAGTTTCCAGCGTGAGGGGAGAGGGAATGAGGCAATGACGATGACCCCCTGCATCATCTTGACAGCTCCTCCCGTCAGCTAGAGATACCTTCCCAAATCCTATTTTTCTAAGCAAAAATACTGTAGGAACGGGTTATATGGCTTAAACGTTAAGACTCTTAGAAGGCAATGAGGGAGACGAGGGAGAGAGGAGGGTGAGGAAGAGGAGAGTCGGGGTGGCTGATGGGAGACAGTCTCATGTGATACTTTTGCACTCAGAGGCAGACAGAAGAGGTAGACCAGACTCCCTCCAACAAGCCTACGCTGCAAACAACTCAGCTGCCGTCTGGCTTGTCCCTCAAGTCACCCCACTGGGGCCATCTGCCCTTTCTTCACTGAGTCCATCTTTATAGGTCATATTGATTAGGTCAGGCGATTTCCCTTCCCTGCCCCTTCCCTGGACTCTGCCCTCCTATAGCAGTCAATAGTTAACAAGACACCCCACAGGTGTGCCCAAAGCCAACAGGATCTGAGCAATTCCTCAGTTGAGATTCCCTCTTCTGAGATGACTCTAGGTTGTGTCACCTTGACCCTAATGGGGACTATGACAATTGTCCATATCCAAAGTGAACACTGGCTCCTTTAGTAGAGCAGCGGTCACTTTTTACATTACTTACAGAAAAACGTCTTCCTCTAGTGGGGATACGGCGATGTCTATTATTCCCTCCCTTGTAGAATGCTATTGCAGTAAAACACTGTAGGTGGGACAGGATGGCCCACGCCTTTGATCCCAGCACTCGGGGGACAGAGGCAGGTGGATCTGTGTGTGTTCCAGGCCAGCCAGGAGCATTGACTGATCCTATTTCAAGGGCTAGATCAGCAATATTTGTAGCAAGGAGGCAAAAGAAAGCCCTCCCTATTTTATAAGCACAGACCATTGTAGAAAAACGTTTTGATTGTATGTATATATGTATGTGCATGTGTGCTTGTGTGTATATACATATGTTATATATGTGTGTATTTTAGACAGTATATATGATGTACCACAGGCTTACCTTGATCTCGTGACCCTCCTGCCTGTCTCCTGAGCTCTGGCACCACAGGGACGTACACTGCATGTAGCCTCGGGATGCAGTTGCTGCAGAGGAATCCGTGTAACTTAGTTCAAGCTCGGCACCACCCTATCCGATGAGCAGCTGTGGTGGACTCAAGTTTACCCCCTGTACTATGACCAGGAGTGGGATCAGGCTGACTGAACTCAGAGGCAGATTCCCAGAGTGTGAAGCCCCCTCCTCCTTTCCGTTTGCCCTGATCTCCTCTCCTGGCCTGCGCTGTCAATGGAGTTTAGGAGTCGGCCTTCACTGATGAGAAAGAGCATTTTTAACCTTGAAAATAGTCTTACGGAATGTAAAGGGGAGGATTGGAGGCACCATGAGGAGCAGGGACTGGGGGTTGGCTATGGGGAGCATGTGTCAGGGAGCACTGGCCCAGCGTGTGGCGTCCGAACGAAGCTTGGGGCGCCTTCGAGGAATCTCCGTGAGTGCTGCGGTTCCTGAGAAAGTCCAGAACACAATTCATGAGAAGACACAGAGGGACTCACACACTTCAAGCAAACATGACGCCTTTGTCCCTGTGCTTTTGCTGTGGAAAAGAAAAAAAACTCGCTGGCCAAAGCCTCTGAGGCATGAAAACAAGCTTCAGGCTTCAAGCGGGACAGGCCTGGCTGGGACAGCCAGGGAGGTGACAGCAGAAACAGGAAACAGGAACAGTTCTCCCAGGTTTCGAGAGACCAGTCAGCAGTAGGGCTGGAGCCTGGTGGTCTGAAGAGAAAAACCTATGGACAGAATTTTCTTTTCTTTTTTTTTTTTTAAGATAGGATCTTGGGTAGCCCAAGCTGGCCTCCAACTCACTGTGTAGCTGAGGATGGCCTTCAGCTTCACCTTGGATCTTCCCGACCCCTGTTCCCAAGTGCTGGGAGACAGGCACCGCTGTGCCCATCTTACTCGGTGCTGGGGATTGAACCAGGCCAGCACACTCCCGATTCAGCCGGCATCCTCAGCCCAGGATTTTCTATTCACTCCGTAATCAGTGACTCAGGAATGAGGGCCTGAGGAGCAGAGGGCAAGGCGCAGGGAGCCTTTTCAAGGAGAGCCGGCCCCGTAAAGTCAACAGATCTCACCCCCGCATGCCCTGTACACAAATTCATCTCCCCGCAGCCGTGCCCTGAAAGCCTGCTTTGCACCGCCCTGCAGCGCCCGTGGAGTCTGCCGTCAACTGGCAGCATATGTCTGCCAAACGCGTTCTACTTCTGTCCAAATATTTTGAAAATGTTGTCTAGTGTGGGCAGAAACCCCAAAAGTAAAGGCAGTAGAAATCCGTTTGCTTATCCCGGTACACAGGGTTCCCCTCTGCCCCTTCCTGCACCTGGCGGCAGTTCTCGCAATACCCTTACGAGCCACCCGACTTACGGTTTGGGGGCTTCCGTGCCTCTGCCCACCAGGCTCTCTCTCTCTGTACCACACCTTCCTACTTCGTCTGTAGAAAACCTGCGGCAAAGGAATGAGGCTACCCTTCTCTCTGACACTCGGAGGCCTCTAGCTGAGATTGGGATTTGCTTCTGAGATTCCCGAGAGACACGTATTGGAGCATAGTCTGGTCCAGGAGTAAACATTCTGCGTGTCTTGCTGTCTGTACAGCCGTCCGAGCTGCAGATATGGACATTATGGCAGAGACAAGTTTGCCTCTGTTGCTGTGGCAAAACATGACAACAAAAACCAAGCTGGGAAGAAGACGGTTGCTGGGACCCGCTGGTCAAGTCTCATCCACAGTCGGGAGCAGAGAGGCATGGGTGCGTGCTCACTTGCTCGTCTGTGATCAGCTCAACTTCTTCACCCTTATTACAATTCAGGGTCCTTGCCTAGAGAACTTTGCTGCCCACAGTGGGCTGGGTCTCCCCACACTAATTAACTTAATTAGGACAATTCCCTACAGACATGTCCATGGGCCAACCAAATGTAGACAGACCCTCCCCTCCCTGAGACCTTCTTCCTAGGTGAGTCTGTGTTGCATCAGGTTGACAATTAAGTTAACCATTACACTCCCCCAAGATTCCTCCTTTCCTGTCATTTATGTAACTCCCAGGACTGTGGGAACGTGAGAGCCTGACAGATCACATGAGCTCTCTGAATCTGGGTGTCAGAAACGAAGAATTCAAGGCACGGCGTGGATTCCATGATATGAGAGAGATAGTATTAAGACACATGCAAGGAATATATGCGCAGCCCCTAGGAGCTGGAAGTTCCCACCATAACCAACAACGAGCAAGGGAAGAGACCGTCAGTCCCACAGTCACAAGGAACCAAATTCTGCACAGCCAAGAGGCTTCCTCCAAGCACTGGGTAACTTGCTAGTGCTGTCTTAAAGCTAAACACCTGCCTGCCTGTGACTCATCAGTTCCTCTCCCAACAAACAAGGGAAAGGCAGATTAAGTTCAGAATATTCACACAATAGAATAACACTGAGCGATGAGGAAACAATGGTACTGAGCCAAAGAAACCAGACATAAAGTCAGCACATTCCATTTTTGTGAAAAATCTATCAGCCATGAAATTGGGGCATTGGGGCTTGGGAGGAGGCTCAGTAGATGAAGCACTCACTGCACAACCATGAAGACATTAATTAAAATGCATTCTAAACCTTAACCAAAAACTGTTTCCCAGTACTATATAATAATCCTTGAGAAAAACATAATATTTGGAAATACAAATTAAACCAATGTAACTTATTTTTGAATGGGGAATGAAGATGTTTTAAAACTTACCCTCATTAATCAAAAGATAAATTCTTCAAAACTGAACAATAATTCCTTCAGGAAAATCAGTTACTTAGTGCTCTCATGTCTCTTCTGGAGTTTTATATAAGATCTTCGGGGTCCCAGGAAGCAAATTCTAATTTGTACCTGAGCCCATTTCTCCTGAAAGGATGTAGGTTCTGCTGTTTGCCATTGGCAACTCAAAGACACTAAATTCAGGCACTGTGTTTTTCTAGAGATTGGCTTCTTTCTGGAGCTGAGGCGATCAAAAATGAATCTCAACTCTGTGGGTGCTCCCTCACCCTGAGACATCAAACCGAGAACTTACGGACATGAGAAATGAGATTTCTCATGGGGTCAAAGGAAAATGTAGCTTTTACTAGGAACTGTGCTGACTTCGTTTGTGTGGTATGAAAGCCCCCTCAGGACTCCTGGAATCAGCAAGAGATGACAGCATTTGACAGTGTGATCATGTACCTTCTGAAATGGTTCAGAGATGTCTTGGTGTGGTTTTAAGTAGTGTCCGTGCTTGAAAGATTTCTCTGAAATAGAAACCAAGCTCAAATGTTTTCCCCATCCAAGTCATATATAAAACATCTAGGCAGTCAAAGCCGGAATGGGTTCCATAGCAACAAGGAACAGTGTCCACTGTGGGCGCCTGCTGCTCTATCTTCAGGCCTGCACATGGCCTCCAAATGTGACCTTCTTTGTGACAACAACTCTCCATACATCTCTGCCATCAGTTCCCACCCATCCGCCCATCTGTCCATCTGTCCTTCCACCCACCCATCTATCCTCTGTTCACAACCACTTATTCCAAGTCTGGCATCTAATTCACGGCAAGCCTCTCTTCTCCCCTCTTCTCTCCTCTCCTCTCTTCTCCCCCAATCTGTACTCTCCTCTCCTCTCTTCCTTCTCCCCCATCTGTACTCTCCTCTCTCGCTCCTTATCTCCCACTCTCCTCCATCCCCCCTCTCTCCCTCTAGCCCCATCTTCTCTCCCTCTCCTCCTCTCTTTTCTGCTTCTCCTCTCTTTCCCATCTCCCCCTTCTCTTACGTGCATTCTTCCCGCCAGCCTGGTCCCAGAGCCGCATCAGTCCCAAATGAACACAAAGGACGCTATATTAATTAGGAGGCTGTTGGCCATTGGCTTGTTTTCTTATCAGCTATCTCTGACTTAATTATTAACCCATAACTGCTAATCCGAGTATTTCCACATGGTCTTCTCTTACCGGAGAGTCTGGACCTCGTACTCCTCTGGTGTCCTACATGTGACTGACTGTGCCTTTGTTTCCCAGAATCCTCCTCAACTCCTAGTCCCACCTATCTTGCTTTCCTATTGGCCGACAGTGCTTTATTTAATAAACCAATAAGACAACATATACACAGAAGGACTTCCCCCATCATCTCCTCTTTTCTGTCTAAATAAAAAGAAGGGTTTTAACTTTAACATAGTCAAATTATATATAACATAACAGTTATCAATTAAGAACTATAATTACAATATTTAGTCCATTAACACTTAGTAAGATTTAAAGAAAGTATTTTATCATCTATCCTATCTGTGTGAGTCTAAAGTCTTACCTATAACTTATCTTTTATCATAACTAAGGAAAACTATAATTATAAGTAGCTGTCTTCAACTCCATCAAAGACCACAGAAGGATAATATATAAACACTAGGATTGACAGAGACACCTCACCACCTGGACAGTCACCTGAAGTTCTTCTGTAACATTGGGGCATCCATCTTCAGTCCATAGGCCACAGTATATCTGGAAGACTTCTCAACAAAGCAGGAAATTTTAAATTGACCATCTGCATTGGCAGTTTGTCAGTTATTTTTCTGTGTCCTGCAGAATGTCTGGCAGCTTATTCCATGAAGCAGGAACCCTGTAGGACTGTCCAAGTACAGCAGTCATTTTCCTGGGGGTCCTGTATGTCCGGTTTATACAGCTACAGTCAAATAGTCCAGGCGAGAGCAGTTTCTTGCCCAAATGGCTAATCTTGCCATGTTGAAAGCAAACTCCATAAGCAGTTTCTTCAATGCCCATCTTCCTCTCAGACGTCATTGGTGTGCCAGGAGTAGTTGTGTCTCACTATCATGAAAAACCCTAAACCATTTAAATGCCATATATTCTGTAGGTCTTTGAAAGGTTTGAAGAGTATCTATCTATCTTAAATATATCTCTGTATATCTAGAAAACCTAACTGACTTAACTATAAGTTTTGACTATTGTAGGTAACTATCTATAATCTGTACTTAATTATACCTTACATTTTTATAATAATTTTTATTTAACTTTTTACACATGTTACTCCCAGCTCCCTCTCGCTTCCCTCCTCCTCCCCTCCTTCCCCTAACACCCCGCACCATCCCCCCTCCACTCTACAGGGAGGGTAAGGCCTTCCATGGGGGATTTAAAAAGTCTGTCACATCATCCCAGGAAGGGACTAGGCCCTTCCCCATGTGTCCAAGCTGAAAGAGCCTCCGTCCATGTGGAGTGGGCTCCCAAAGTTCATTTGTGTGCCAGAGATACATACTGATCGACTATCCGAGGTCCCACAGATTGTCGAGGCTTCCTCTCTGACATCCAGGTTCAGGGGGGGTTTGAATCAGTCCCTGCTAGCCTCTCAGTCATCAGTCTGGGCTCCATGCGTTCCCTTGTTTAGGTCAGCTGCCTCTGTGGGTTTCGCCAACGGGATCTTGAATCCTTTGCTCATCACTCCTCTTTGCAGCTGGGTTCCAGGAGTTCAGTTCAGTGTTTAGCTGTGGGTGTCTGCCTCTGCTTCTGTCAGGCACTGGATGAGGGTTCTAGGATGGCACATAAGGTAGTCATAAATCTCATCATCAGGGGGAGGGCATTTAGGGTAGCCTTAATGCCAGTTGGTGTCATTCTTGTATATCTCTGAAAATCTCATTAGTGCCTGATCGCTATAATAGCTTCCTCTATTATGGCATGTCTCATCCTGCTCTCCTCTATTCTTACCCTGACTCAACCTTCCTGCCACCCCATGTCCTCTTCTCCCCTCCTCTTCTCCCCCTCTCTTTCTCCCATCTCCCTCTCCCCTCCTCTCCCCCCCATGCTCCCACTCTCCTCAGGAGATCTTTTCCCATTCCCCTTCTCCAGGTTACCTACCATTCATATCTCTGTTTCCCAAACTCTCTGGTGGTGTGGATTGTAGGATGGCAATCCCCTGGTCCATGTCTAAAATCCATATATGAGTGAGTACATACCATGTTTGTCTTTTGGTGACTGTGTTACCTCAATCTGGATGGTTTCTTCCAGTGCCATCTATTTGCCTGCAAATTTCAAGATTCCATCGTTTTTCCCACTGAGTAGTACTCCATTGTGTAGAGGGGCATCTAGGTTGCTTCCAAGTTCTGGCTATTAAAAATAATGCTGCTATGAACATAGCTGAGCAGATGTCCTTGTTGTATGAATGTGTATCTTTTTTTTTTTTTTTTTTTTGGTTTTTACGAGACAGGGTTTCTCTGTATTGTTTTGGAGGCTGTCGGTCCAGCCCGGCCTCGAACTCACAGAGATCCGCCTGCCTCTGCCTCCTGAGTGCTGGGATTAAAGGCGTGCGCCACCACCGCCCGGCTATGAATGTGTATCTTTTGGGTATATGCCTAAGAGTGAAATTGCTGGATCTTGTGCTAGACGGATTCCCATTTTCCTGAAGAATCTCCATACTGATTTCCAAAGTGGCTGTACAAGTTGGCACTCCCACCAGCAGTGGATAAGTGTTCCCCTTTCTCCACACCCTCTCCAGCATAAACTGTCATTCATGTTTTTTATTTTAGTCATTCTGATGGGAGTAAAATGGTATCTCAGAGTTGTTTTGATTTGCATTTCCCTGATGGCTAAGGATGTTGAGTACTTTCTCAAGTGTCTCTCAACCATTTTATACTCCTCAATT